GTAGTTCCTTGATGCTAGTCGGGGTTGGCCACTCAACTACGGTTGCGACACGCGCAGGGTCTGCGCGTATGCCGCGCCTTGTGACTATAAACCCTAGGAAGTGTACTTCTGTTGATGCGAAGGTACACTTTTTTAGGTTGACATACAGCTCCGCTTCCCTTAAGGATTGAAGTACAGCGCGTACAGCGCGCCAGTGTGTCGCAATTTCTTCGTCATACGAGTATATGAGGATATCATCTAGGTAGACAACACAAATATGGTCTAAATGGGCGCTCAAGGCCTTGTTAATGTAGGCCTGGAAGCTAGCTGGAGCATTGGTGAGGCCAAAGGGCATCACTAAGTATTCAAAATGGCCGTATCGTGTTCGGAAGGCGGTTTTCCACTCATCTCCTGCCTTGATTCTGATGCGGTGGTACGCATCTTTCAGGTCGAGGGTCGTATAGTATCGTGCGCCTGACAAGCGATCTAGGGTCTCCCCAATCAATGGGAGCGGGCAACGATCCTTAATAGTGACATTGTTAAGACCCCGGTAATCAACGCAAAGGCGAAGAGTACTATCTTTTTTGGGTACGAATAATATAGGAGCTCCAGCAGGGCTGGTACTGTGTCGGATCCAACCTCGCCGTAGGGCTTCTTCGATGTATTCGCGGAGCAGTTGTAGCTCACGTGAAGAGAGGGTGTAGAGCGGACCGTAAGGCGGCTCTTTGCCTTCTACAATAGGGATTGCATGGTCTGAACTTTTGTATCGTGGCAGGATCTCTGCGTTGCGGTTGTCGAAGACATCCGCATATTCTGATAGTTCATGCGGGATGCGAACCTCCTGCGCTGCGTTTACATGGTACACGCGCGCCTCTGGTTCTAACTCTGCGCCACTCGATAGAAGCGTTCCTAGTAGATAACTGTCTGAGTTGATGTGCTCGGCTTCCTTGAGGAGTTCCTTTGCTGATACTAAGTGTATTTGTGCTTTAGTGTATCCCCAACGCCAGGTTTGGCGTCCACAGTCTATAGTAATGTCTTCTTGTTTTAGGAATGGGTTGCCTAATAACAAGGGACAACCTTCTTTGTCCACTCCGTACACGGTAGCGTTGGTCCGGCGCTCCACGCCGTTATCGTCGGTGAGGCGCAGGTTCAGCGCATAAGCGGCATATGTGTCCTGTCGTTGTGGGCCAATCCACCCTAGCCTGGGGAGTTCGGCTTCCTTGAGGGGAGTAAGACCCATCTCTACAGCGCTCCTTTGGCTGATTAAACTGACATCAGCTTGTGGATCTAGGATTACCCCTAACTTGTGTTCTGAAGCTGTGTCTACGCTTGCGTAACACATGCGCTTCATGCCCGGCAAGATATCTACGGGTATGCGCCTCACTGATCCCGGAATTTCAGGGAGGCTTGACCTTTTTCCGTGCGGTTGACACTAACAGGTAGCTGGTTTGGATTGCTACTTCGGCACTTATTTGCGTAGTGACCCTTCTTTTGGCATTTGTAGCAGGTAATTGTATGCTTGTCTTTTAATCTACTCTGTTGGCTCATTTGGGAAGTAGGAGGGCTTCGCTTTCGTTTCTCCCGGGATGCGACTTGGGGGCGATATTCATGCGTAGCGGGTGTTTTTCGCAAATTCCTTTCAAGCGTAGAGGCTAATGCTATTAGGTCCTCACGGGTCGCTGGGATTTGGTGGTAATTGGTAATTGATCGCTGGAGTTCAGGTCTCAGTTTTGTGAACAGGTGTTGAACCCTTTGTACCTCAGTGTAAGGGGTCAACTGGTCCTCTAAGACTTCCAGGTACGTAGCGAAAGATCTGACGGTCTGGTCTTTTCGCTGGAGAGCTTGGCTGTGCGCTGTGGCTGCTTCGAGGCTGCGGTTCACAGGATCTGCGAGCAGGTCAAGCAGGTACTGCTTGTAGTATTCCCAAGTAGGGGTTCGTTCGCATGCTTCGAAGCTACGTTCGAAGTGCGCATACCAAAGCTCTTTTGGATCGCCCTCAAGGTATTGCATTGACCATATTACCCTGTTCTTGTCCTCCTTTAGCTCCTCAGGTAGCAAGCGAAAAGCCATTTCGCAAGAGCGAATAAACTCCCGATATTCCCGAATGTTCTTACCCCGGTACCCTGTTGGATCTTTTGGTTTTAGCGTGCGCCTGGTATGCGCCACACTGGGTGCTGCAGTGACGTTGATCGTGCGCCTCTCTTGAGGGTGGGGACCCGACGGATTGTCCGACACGCCCACGTTCCTGCTTTGCTCCGATTCTTCCAGCTGGAGGATTTCCTCCTCTAGTTGGCGCAACTGATTTTGTTGTTGTAGATTTAGGAGTTCATCTCGTCGTATCTGTGCCGCTTGGATGCGCTCCTCAATCGACGGGGTTGCGCTTCGCTCGCGGGGTATGGGCTCAGCGCTTGGGGTGCGTGATAAAAGGACCTGGTCCGAATCTCTGCTCTGAGAGCGGGCATGTTGCCCTGATCGAGTAGAAGGAGCCATCTCCTGACCATCGGCCGAAGAGAAGGATTATTATGTGAGGCGTAACTGTAGGCAATAGTGCTTGCTTCACGTTACTAAAGACAGTGGGAGATAGCTCATATATTCAGACTACAGGTGTAGGTTGTAAAGAGAATAATCCTTGCCTCGCTCTGTAGAGCGAGGCGCGCCTTATAAGCAGGTTTAGCGCGTACTTAGCTCCTTCGAGGGACGTGTGTCTCAAGCCCTCGTTACATCTAGGCCTCGCGTCTAGCTTTCGCGCTACGCCTAAATAGGAGACTTGTCTTCGACCACTGTCTTAAAAGGCCTACCTCTACTGTTATTTTCCCTTCTCTCGTTTCCCGTTACTCTCTACTCTCGTCCCTTTGATCTGTAACCCCTAGATTGCGCCTAGCTATCACCCTGTTTTCACTTCACGTAACTATTCTCTATATAGCAATTTTCTCAAACTCAGCTGCCTGCCTTCGAGAGTCAGCCTATGTTGCTACGGTGCTCAGATCCCTCTCCACAAGTCGTCCTTGTTACATCTATATAATCCTAGTACAAGCTAGTTATTCTGACTTACACATACTGATGTCTCTCAGACTACACGTTTCTAAACTTCTATACGCAGCACAGCACAGTGCCATAGGAACGAATTCACAAGTACGATACCTCTCCTACTGCTTGCGTCTAGGCGTTAGTACTAACTTGCACGCTGGCCCCACCTAAAGCACATCCGCGAGGTAAAGAGGAATGTTCGTCTGTCGCCCAGTCCAGCGCCTCACATTTTCGACTAATCGGCCCATTTGCCCCTTGCTTCTCGTCAGAATCACCGGACCATTGTTGTCTCTGCAACGCACTGTTCACTGCATGATGTCTTATGCCGTAGTCTCAGCTTCAGTCACTTCGCATCTTGCTCCTTCTGGTGAAAACATCCTCCAATTTGCCTGATCAGGACACGACATGCCAAAACAGGCTTTTCTCTCGGACGCGATACCTCACTCACATGAGGCACTAGTTCCGTACTCGGGGCTTTACGATCCTCCAACATTAATAGCGGGTCTGCATTGCCTGCAGTATCGCAGGGTTGCAGTGCAACGTAACAGACGGAGATCAGGAGACAACTAGCTCGCGGCTCGGCATTGCCACTGGCGTGGGAATGCAGAGATGGACTGCACCTCGCTTACATTCTGCTTCGGCCGGATACAGTTTCCAGTCAACGGTGCTCATGTCTCAGCTCTGGCCACGTAGTATCACCTCCTCCAACCTTCGGTCCTTCTGCAACGTACGCTGGCCAATGTGAGCTCACCTAACCGTGCTCTCCTGGAGCTGGACGCGTTGACGGTGACGCGGTCGAGCACTATTCGTCTTGGTTGTGACGCTACAATGTGGCCAGCGGAGGCTGTTTGCATATACGCTTGCCTTTAGCTTGCAATCAGTAGCTCAGCGTCAGCATTGGACTCCATGAGCTGTGCCGAATGAGCAGAGCCTTCTCCACCACATTTGGTACCAAGGGTGGAGCCTCTCCGGTGAATGTCTTTCATCCTCGTGTCTTGGTTCTGGTGTCCTGACGTTGTTCCTCACGCTTCTTCGGTCGAATAGACATCATGGCTACCCCCTTTGGTGTAGTTGGCTCTTCCAGAACTGGGCCCGTTCAGAGAGCCATGCATACCATTAGAAGCCTCTGCAGTAACAGTCGATTCAAGAGTCAGGTAAAGTTAGATAACGATGATGGCTTCGGAGACACCGAAGATGACATAATACAATCGATTTAGCGCCATAATCTAGATATTCTCTCCCCTGAAGACGCCGCCAGCGAAATAAGTGGTTTCCTATTTAAAGTCTTCAATACGACGCTCTCTTATCAGTTCGAGTCCATCAGATCCTGTCAAATCTCACAATGGCTACTTTTACTTCGGTTGCTCAGCCCATTTCATATAAGTTCAAACATTTTGAACCTACGTCGCTCGAACGTACTCAATCGAAGCCCAAGGCTAAGGCGACAAAACATACTCTTCACAGAGATTGTGGAGAGGTAGCAAGTCAATCTTCGGGATCACTTTATCAAGGTAACGCTCACTCCCCAATCATATAAGCGAGCTATTCCAGACTGAGTCGTATCCAGGAAGGGAAAGTGACTTTTCCACTGTTCCTCAACAGATATCACGGGTTCAGACGACAGACTGTCTCGAACACAATGAGGACATAAACTCAGAGATGTACGATCTGTTTGGAGCAGACCACGAAACAAGCACTCTTGAATTCGCAACTAGCGATAGTGATCACCAGTTTCCCCATGAACTGTGTGATGAGGGAGAGAAAAGCCGCGAAACATTGTATTTGACCTTGAACGATTCATTCAATGAAAGCACTTCAGGTAAGTACTTCAGTAGACTGCGGTGGTGACTCCACTGATTTCGGATAGACTGTTGTTCAGTTGGGGAGAATGACGCGATTAGAGATCGCCACAGGGCTACAGCATTACAGCGTAGCAGCGGGACCTCGGATTATCAGGATAAGAGCTGCTATCTGACTACTGCCAATGAAGGGGATCTTGCTGAACAGCGCGATGATCTTAATGCAGCCGTAAGGTACGCTTTCTCCGCAAAGGATGTTGAAAGTACTTATCATGGTGAGTAAAATGACCCCATCGATACATGGAACTGTGCTGAAACCGTCAAAGTTGGACCACCAGTGGAGAGCGAAACGTTTTTCGGCGTCGCTAGTGTGGTAAAAGGTCCTCCTCCGCCGCGAAAACGTTCGCATCGATCTTCGATCGCTGACGCGGCAACGACTATTCTGGAAGCAGTGCCGGATATTGTATCGCATCCAGAGCCTGAGAATCTCCATTCAGCGAAGCGGCGAAGGATGGCTGGGCGACAGGCACAGAGCTCCATAACCGAATCAACGTATACGCCTAAGACACCGCCGCTGCTGGATCCTAGTCACCAAGCTTCTTGTCTCAGTACCAGCGATGATCCTATTGTTAGCTCTCCAGGTGCCGATGACAGAGAACATGGTACCATAAGCCTAGCCCTGTCTTCAACCAACCACCACGATGTAGAAGATAGCGACGGCGCTTATGTTCAGGGAGCAGTCGAGGGGCAGTCACAGATAAGAAGTTCCATCACTCCTTTCCAAGAAATTCTATTTGAACAAGACGTTCGTGGAGAATCCAACACGCGTGTGATAAGTAGACAAGGCAGCGGAAGCGAAGTCGGGGAAACCTTCGAAGATGAACACAGCTATGACGAGTCAAGCATTATCCGTCCATCGAGATCACAACGGCGTAGGCATACTAGTTGGACACCCGCGATGGTACGCAAGCCATCAAACACTCCTCTTAGACCATTGAACCACAACACAATACCTGCGAGGGCATCGCAGCGAGTAAAGTTGAGCCAACCACAAAGAAAGCCGGTACCGGGAGGACGCAATACCGACCAACGGCCTCGAAATTGCTCCCTAGGATCAGATACACCAGGCACAACGGCTGATCATGGAACCAATACCGACTATGGATGCGACCTTAGCATATCTTGTCAAATAACCGACCTAACGCTCTGCACTATTCCAAATGACTCTTCAGTCGTGACGGCGATGTTACGTCCTCATAAATCGGATAGTTACCTCGACGTGGTAGCTCTAAGTCGCAAGGTCCTTGGCGAACAAGGAAAAGTCATCCGCATGACTCAAATGTCGCCAGATTCATGGGTGCTGCTAGGATATCAGTGTAATAGTAGCGCTCTAGACCTTTGCAATCGGAGAAGCCCGAATGCAGAGTGGATTAATGGTTCTCATAATGATGCTGCTACTTATGAAATGGACCACTCAGACAACGACGACAACGACCACGATTGCGACGATGAGAACGAACAGGAGGAGGAATTTACAGAAAGATACAGCCAACGAATACGCAAGTTGTGGCTAGAGTCGGAGGAAGTACTTCTACTCTCGTTGAAGGATAAACAGGGTATGGATTGGGAAGAGGTGTGTAAACGCTTCCCTGGTCGGTCGCTTGGTGCAATAAGACTGCGCTACCACACGTTGCGGAAGAGAGGCTACTGTAGTGAGGCTAGTACGGTTTTTCGAACCTAGACAGCACCAAGTATATCTATGATTGCATTTGCTTTCTTGCGCCGGACCTCAGGGTGATCGATCGTAAAGTAGTCCTAGTCATCACTAGTCCATACGATTAACGCATTCGAGCATTTCCTGCCCTTCAAACCCTTCTACACACCAGAAATATCCTAGGGTTAGCTTTTCTTGAAGCAATCTAGAAAAAACACCATGCTGACACTCTTGAATAGTATCGAGCGTTTGGGACACGATAACGGCAAGGGGACTTGCATATGAGCGCTCAGTCTTTCCCTTGATAAAGGGACAACGAGGTGCGATAGTTCAGATTTTTAGGTTACAAGGGCTCGAAGGTCTACCTAATCTCTTCTCCTGCAGTAAGTCAACGTGTAACTTGTTTTGTATCTTGACACAAGGATGTCCGCTGAGGTTGCGATCCCCGCTCTGTTATAGCGAAACCTACTGGCTTCGTCTCGGGTAATCTCTAATCTTGTGACACATCTACAACTTTTGTCATACACTAGGATTCTTGACGACGCTTACAGCCTCGAGAGCATGGCAGCAAAAATCTCATCACGAATACGTAGTCGTTGATTGTATTGTTGATATGATGGAATGTGACTTAGTGGTGTCGATTAATCTCAGGTATGCGCAATACCTTCACTTTCAAGCCCAGGATAATCCATCTACAGAACCTTCCCACAGTTTTGGTTTCATTCTTAGCGGTACTTCTGTTAGAGCACTCTAGCTTAGTGCACTAAGCAGGAGGGCTCCGCTGTGCTTGATGTGCCCTACACTTTCGTGTCTATCATTCTGCCATTCGGCAGGTACGGTTTCTTATCAGTCCATGGGAGAAAAGATAGTCCAGTCTCCTTGTCTAATCACTTGTCGGTACGATGAGTCCACGCCAGATCCGATTGATGTAAAAGGAGAGATGACACAGCAACTGTGTAGCGGTGCAGGCCTAGTATAGATTAGTTTCTGTGATGAACGTAGGCGAAAACTTACAATGAACACGCCTCGCCGGAGCTCCGCCGAAGTGTCTCTGCCTGCAAGTGAGAGACCAGAGACAATGATTGCGCCAGACAATTGAATCAACGAAGCAACTGCGTTCGATAAGACAAGAGTATGCAGGAGGCGCACATAGTTCTCGATTCGCTGCTCAGATCCTGAGTTGTTATGGACGTTCAGTTGCTTCAGCGAGAGTACGAGAGACACAAGTGATGCGGCAGCGAAACGAGCAAGCAATGCCGACTCATACGCAGATAACACCGTTTTGCCTCTGCTTACAATTAGATGACTTCAACCGAAGATGTAGTTAACTTACTTAACTGCGGAAACAATGTCGAGTATAGTTGTTGACGCCATCAGATGCACAGCCCATATAGCCCATGGAGGAGAAAGGAAGTTTCGCAACAATAGAGTGAGCTAGAATTCTGTTAGCAGAAGAACAGAAATCCACGCAAGCAGATTGTCTAACGTTGTGGCTGTTGAGAATTTGGAGGTTACACATCAGAAATCCATCGAGCCAGTAGTATATCTCTTTCCCAGAATAGGGTACAGTCGCGATTGCAACGATGCCACCGATTCCCAGGCTTATCGAAATGATATCAACGATAATTTCCGCAACCTTTTCCCATCGGTAGTCGTACTCGTGGCTGTAGCGGCTAGTTCCAAGGCCTCTGACCTCAAGGTATGTGAGCACACTGGTCAGGATAAGTCCGACTGAGAAACAGACTGCAAGGGCGACAAGTATGGAAAGTGTCATCTTGGGGTGGATCAGTGCAGTACGAAAAATGAGGGGGTACCGCCTTTTTCAACTGCTCCATCCTTCGCTCCAAACAGGGCCTGTCGGATATGCACCACCGTAAACCCGTTCCCCCTAGTGGAGATGGAGCGGAGCGAGTGAAACAATGAGTTTAATGCCGAACAGTTGCATCCAAGTTTACCAGGAGACCCACATACGTCTGCAGCACCCGGACTTGCGTACTAATAGGATATAGCTTGAAGAACTTGTGATGTCCATAGGTACCGACATTGTGAGGGGTAAGGACATTAGTGAGACTGAAACCACGCTCATATTACCCTCTTCATGGTGTAAACCCGACACTGGCACTTGTCCTCAAAGTCTTAGCCGTTATCTTTAGCCATACCATTTGGCTTTTCTCTTCGCATGAGTATGTTAAAGCTGAAGGTCTATAGAGCAGAAGCTTGTAGCGACGGAGAGATCAGTAGAGTGTGCTATAGAGATTTTGGTCTAGATTGAGGAAGCTATGGATATCTCCAAACGTAAGCACTTCGAAACGATATAGTGAAGCTATGGGAGGCTGTAGCCAGCACGTGTCACAGCACGCTTAAGAGACATCTCAGATACATCCTGCATTGGTTATGTAGCAGAGGTCCCTCACGCAAACCAAGGCGACACTCCTTTGCCCGACAATTCTGCTTTCACATCGTTTTTCAAACCGCAGCTACGGCCCTCTTACATTCTGGTGCATTAACAGAGGTTATTGCCTGAACAGCAACATTTCCTACGGCCTCCAACAAAACATTAGTCGTGGGCGACCGCAATACGCGCGGAGGTAACGTCAAAGCGGTAATTACTTTCAGAAATCATTTTCTAATGCTCTGGATGCTGTAGCACATGATTACAGCGCATAAGCACGATCAAGTTGGTAAACTCTTAGACGGACCGCCTTTCCGCGTCGGTCTTACCCATCATTTTCTGCTAAGATCCTCTTTTTGTTGCGTGTCTTTGGACGCTAAGTGCCTTTATCTCGCTGGTTTCTCCGCCACTTGTCATTTGGGTCTCCCACCGCTCTCTATCGTATCGACTCGATCCTACCTAGCAGTTATCCAGTGAAGAATATTGTCGTCCGAAGTAGGCCTGTAGAGTATTATGAAGCTCACTGCCAGCCAACTCGCACAGAAAAGGAAGAAAAATCGAGAAAGTCAGCGAAAGTCGCGCCAGAGAGTGAAAGATCAAATCGATGTCCTTCAGCGCCAGGTTGGAAACCAAATCCCCAACGGTAGATTTTCCTATTGACAGATTCAGAACACAAAGCTTGAGCAAGAGAATATTTCCCTACAGGAACGATTGCGAGACGCATTAGCGGCCTTAGAAGCGTTAGAACATGGTACGATTTCACAGTGGATTTTATCTTTCACAACGGAATATCCCTGACCTTTTTCATAGCTCAGTATCCGAACCAAGCAAAAATAGCGGCTCTAGCAGATACTGGATTCTGCACGCCGCCCGCTTTGGACAACACCCCAGAACCCTGCCATTGCTCGTCGGCCCTCACTCAAGGCTTCGTCTCAGACCACACGCAGCCATCAAGAGCGTCGCATATTAACTGTGACTCGTTGGACAGATGTTCCTTGCCACCGCTAGGTTATCTACAAAACTCTTTTTACATGGGTGGCTATCTGGAAGGAGGTATTTTATGTGAAAATAGGGCTGGGTCAGAAGATAGCTGGGCATACAGTTCCCTGAACTTATCACCAGACATGTCCGAGGCAGGAGATACTTCATATAGAGATTTGGGAGCACAGAGAACAGATTCAGCGAGTAATTAAATTTAGTCTAGCAAACTGCATGATTCCAGTGCCTGAGGATCGGTAAGTCTTCTGAAGTCATGCAGTCAAGCTGAATTGCATCTCGTTTCTAGTATCCATAGAACCAACGTCATTCCCGGGACGGTTGTGCACGAGTATCATCAGTGTCCTCATCTGGAAATGTGCATCATCCGCACACAATCTCACATTACATGATTAACTACGTTCTTATGTTCTAAGCTTATGAATTGTTACGAGCCCTTTTGTTAGAGCGACGTATATCCTCATCAGAATCACGGTTATCGACGCTGTTCGCCCATCTCAGGATTTTGTGGCTCTTGGGCGGACTCGATTGACTAGTTTTGCCCATATACCCAAGTGCTTCGTGTAGACGCGACAACAAATTGTCTTCCTGGATTGAGAGTTGTTTCTTCTGCTCTCTCAAGTCATTCAGTTCGTCCCAAAGACGTTTTATTCCGGCATCATCCTGCTCAGACTGGCGCGCTACACGATTTCTCAGTACTAGTAGAAGCGCAGGGAAGAAGATCTTACTAGCTTTGCGTGGCTCTGCCTCTTTAGTCTTGCAGGAAGCAGACTCATCGATCTGTTCAATTTCCTTTTTACCACAAAAAGACTTGTCTGTAATCGTTGGACCTTCTGGAACGGAAGACTGATGAACAGTATCATGTCGATACTCCTACGATCGTCAATAACAGTCGCCAATTATGCAGTCTATTTATAAACCTTATATAACGTATCGTCCGGAATGGTATCTTGAGAACTCATCACTCCTTGGCTTCTGTTGAATGCACTGATTGCAAGATGGGAGAGAAAATAATAATGTAAGGAATGAAGGACAGTATTTTATATATAATTAGGTGACATTGATCAGACTAGCTGGATTCTCACATGCTCTGAGACAACACCTTCAACCATTAATGGAGTTGTCGGTCCGTTCCAACTAGTGAAGCATGGCACACACCGTCCGCAAGCCAGTAAAGATGTGAACATGCATGGCAGGGTATAGCGAATCGAATAAGAGCTGGGCCAGTGTCAGCTATCGAGAATGGATGCCGAGGTGGCAGGGGCTGTCTATTTCCTTCGAAGTTGTTTCACGTTCAATGATCGCAATTAAGTTATTCAACTGAAGCGCGCTCCTTAAGGGCACTCCATTTCTTACCAAGTGTAAAGCGAATAATGCCCGCGATGCAGCATGATCGGCTAGGTACAGACAGATGACTATCAACTAGAGATTGCTCTTCACAAAGGATAGCATCGAAGAACATTAGACATTAGTAGAGAGTTGTGAATACTCTTTCTAGCGTTACGTGGATCACCTCAACGATCATGCATTGCAACCGGCTTGCTCTATCCGTCACTTCGACTCTCAGAATACCACTGTCCTGACCACTCTCCTAGTTTGCAGTAGCGCTGAGTTAACGAGTTCTTCCTCATTGGGCTACACAGGCACACACTTCTCTTTGTGTTTCCCAGTCTCAGCCACAGCAATTCTAGACTAGCGTTGTGTATCTTATGATATTGGGGCTCGCGCACAGTAAAGTCTTTGCAGTTGACTTGAGTTGTAGAACATATGAATGTGGTTGCGTGGGCGGTGCTCGGATCACAGCGCTGACGTGTGGTTGCGGTTTCGACGCTTGTAGTTTCTGTGACTGTCGGTCTGCCACGCGTTCCTCACGACACAAATCCGAGAAAGCAAAAAACGTCTGCGGTGTCGCTGCGCAAAAGGCAACTAGAGCCTGTGCAGAACAACCGCAAATGATTTCTGCGTAAAGGCAATTCAGCCCCTGCTGTAATTGCCACTCAACTTCCCTACGACCTGAGTCGCGATATTCGTCACAATTCCTCATTCATCGCGTGTCGTTGGGTCGATACCACGTTTATGTAAAGGTTGGCGCAAATATTGTGCGCGTTCGATTGCACTGTTACGATGCGGGTGCAAGAGCAGATAATCGGCTTTACAATCGATAGTTCTGCAGGGCGAGTAGGTTCGCGACGAGCTAGCTCGGGAGTCGTCACTAAGCAGTGTAATTATGTTAGCAGGCTGTCATCGAGCGACTGATGGACGATATCCTCTTAAGCCATACACTTCATCTCGACTGTTATCTCCGCAGTCGTGCAGACTGAGGACGGTCGTCTTGATTGTAGCCCGTATCGTATACGATGTCTCAGCGGAGTTTGTGCCGCTGTCGTAGAAGAAGGTCGATATGATGCGCTGGCAGAGATTCGTAAGCATGATACAGAGAAGGCGGAGGATCATACACACCTAGAAGCTCTGGAGGATGAAAGGCTAAGTCGGTAGTATTTGCATTCTCAAATATTGGTGGGGTTACTGTCTCGATTGCGACGTACTCGGTTCGTATGAGATGTGATTCGCATCATCCAGTTTCTCCACATTTTTCGCTGTCGCCGAGGTACAAAGTCAAGTTGATCATGCTCGTGTGTGGATATGGCGCGCTTCCGTGGAAGGCTCATCAAACGCGTCGAGGAAGCCAACGGGGAACTTCGGGGGTTATATGCTTGTCGCTTGTACACCCACTTGTGACGCGCGCGCGCGCAAAATGATATCGAAGCAACGTACGCTCAATGTAGTGTCGTGTGTTCAAGTAGTGATGTGAGGGCAGGAAGGCTAGCCAGCTGTCGCGTTCACAGCGCCACGATAAGATAAGGCCGAGGCACGTGCGCAGCACTACCGGTGCCGGCAGCACCCGACGCAAATTGGAACCAGGAGAGGCCCTTACTGTACCTGTCGCACGGTTGGGTGCGAGTATTGTAGACGGAGAATCAGGAGCACCAATCTGCAAGTACATAAGCCGCTCTGGGGCATCGTAGTTTATCCTCCTGCCTTGGGCTTTGCACAAGATGGAACGAATAACGCATAGGTAAGCTTGATGATGCTATACTTATTTAAAGCTGAGTCTCCGAAGTACCGATGCATTCGATTTCAACCCTGCTTCGCCAAATATCTGGGCGCTTCGTGCTTCCCTACGTTCTATGTCATCTCAAGATGACAAATTCCAAGCGTTCATAGCCACGCGGGGTTAGATGCATTCCCAGCAAAGACAATCTGGCTGGCTTTTCATCAAACTGAAGGAAGTTATGATGGAGGAGTGTTACCAATATAGAGATAGCGAGAAGCCGCAACTGGATGCTGCCTTCAATGCGAAGCAATGGGAGAATTGTTTCAACATG